TTCGAATTAGGGAAAAAAGTTAATCCCTTGATTCGGCCAGACCTATTATTATATTATTGACTTATTGAAAAAGACTTGAGTGCCCTTCTTTAAGTAAGAGGCACTCGAACTAACATAACAGTACACATCAGCATTCTCAACAAGTACAAAGACTGAAATACCCCTTCACTAACACCACTAACAATTATATATAGTCTATGCAACAGACACTGCAAGTTTATTTTAACACCAACAAGGTTACTTCCACCTAAATCACACAAAAGGCAATATAATCATTTACATGAGGCATTATGTGATCCACCACAGATAACACTAAGCAGAATACGCTGTGAGGATCAGAAAATGATTGTGGAAAATAGCACTGATACCCTTGTAGTGGCATCTACTCTTTGGTTCCTGGGAGACATATCATATTATCATTAACTCAGAAAAATGAAGATTGTCAGTGTTCTTACCAGTAGAGGGTTAATTGCAACCCATTCTTCCCTTGGAAGCCATAATTGCAAAGATTGCCTTGTTTCCTCCGGACTCTGAGTTTTCTGGGCAAAAGCAAGAAAATGAACAAGTTCAGAACTGCATTCCTTGAAAATAAGAGGCTGTAAAGATCAGATTTATGATCCAAGATACTTCAGATTAGTGAAAAAGGAAAAACAGGCCCTAGTAGGGCCTACGAATTGTATACCAAAATGAATCATTAGGGCAACAAGAAAAAAAAAATACTAGGATGAATTTTCTTACAGAACAGATATGCCTTATCCCTTCAAAACCCCTTACTAGGTTAAGGTCAAATACTTTGAGAACATTAAATCTAGAAGGAAGTGCAATTATTCCAATTTAAATATGTTTAAGCCCAATTTGGTTGTCTGGCAAAGTCAGAGCTAATCCAACAGCCAAACGTAAAACAAATGGTTAAACCTTGCACCTTAGTTCAATTACAATGGACCTAATTAGTCCACTACACATTTAGGTTGTGTTTGGTACACTTGGTGTTTCAATCTGAAATGATTTGAGTTGGGTGTTTCAACTTGAAACACAAACACCACTGTTTGGTGAGTGTTGAAAGCAATTTTGGTAGGATCCTTCAGTTACTGGTTGAGTGCTGCCAAGAGCTGGTTCGAGGGATCTCACCCTCCTGAAATGGATTAAGAAAAGAGAAGAGGAAGGGGTAGAAGAAGGAGAAGAAGAAGAAGAGCAAGGGAAATAGGGTTTCTTGTTCATGCCTCTCCATGATTATTACAAGATATTTATACTTCACATAGGGGGAGGATAGTGACTGCTAACTGATTCTCGTTCAGCTCTCCTAACGTGGACAGCGCATGTAAACAAACAAAGGTAGTGTTGAATGAGTGATCCGAGGAATATTCTGGGTAGGGCCTCAGATGTGTGGGTTGGGCTGGTCACCATTCTGGTTCTAACAAATTTTTTTGTTTCTTCTTGGTAGAAAAGTTCAAGGCAAAACTTACGATAAGAGAGAATGTGCTTAATCATGAGCCTTTATGGGTTGACTAGTGGGCTAACTAAAGCCCATTTAGATTAAAAGAGGTGCCCCATACTGGTGTTTCCTCTCTTTAAGTGGGAGGCCAGGTGTCTATCACCTATAGAGAGGGGTAGTTACATAATTACTTCAATCCCTATTTAAGTGCTTGGGGAGAGGCTTCAGCCTCTCCAGAGAAATTGTGTCCTAGACAACCGAACTCCTAGAGAGTCGTAAGAAAGTCCAAAGTGAAGAGAAAAAACAAGAAGTCTCATGAAGAAAGAGAAAGAAAAAGAAGAGAAGGAAACCCCACTCTCACTAGTAGGTGAAGGGAAATCTTCTCTGCTAATGTCTTCTATTTTCTTACAGTAAGAGTCTGTATCACAGCTCAAACGAAATCTCTTCTGGTATGAGAGTGGTGGCAAGAGAGACCATTTGGTGAAGTGAGCATATTTTGGCAGCTATAATCAGGAGTGGAGTAGGGAATGAGTAGGGAGTTCATGCCAACCGCTCTGGAGAAGATAATTGAAGGTGGAGGCCAAAAGTTTTCTGTTTGAAGAGATTAGAGTGAAAGGGACAAATGCTTTGAAAATTAGAGAAGTGAAGATGGTGATGGTTCAACTGGTTGGGAACACTATGACCACCAAAAAAGTGGAGGCATGCAAAAGTTCACCAAAAAAGTTGAAAGAGCAAACATTGGGAGAAGTTTTCAAGCATCCTAAGGGATTTTATGCTTATGGTGGAAAAGGCAAATGTTAAAGTTAATGTGGGGGAAGAGGTGGAAGTAAAGCCCCTGAGCAAAGAGCTTCAGGTGACAGGAAAGGCAGTGACTCTAGCGAGCTATAGTGATAAATGCAATCTGGTTGTTATACATGGAAAGGAGAACTGGGAATCCAAGTTGGTGGCTGAGACTAATTATGATGTGAGGGACTGGTACAAGATAGCAGATATTGTTGTGTTAAGGGTTTGAAGCTGGAGGGTACAATGATCACAACACTGCTTGAGAGGCATAAAGCTTTGCTTGATTTGGTAGAGGAAAGGCCGGAAATAGCAGCAGTTTGTCTTTAAGCCTCACCCAGCAATGTTAAGAATTGCTAAATGGAGCCCTAGGTCCAGTTCAAAGGTGATAAACTTGCAAATGGGCGTAACAGTTTGGGTCCTTGGCTTGCCATTGAATCTTCGACAGCAAGGAACTTTTGGCGCCATTGCAACAGCTTATGGGGTGGTAGCCTGAATGCTTTTTTTCTGAGTGACCATCAATCAGCAGCAATGAAGTTGACTGGAGTGAAGCTGGAGGGAGTACCCAGAAAGGTCAAGCCGTCAAGGTCTTCTGGTATGGGTCATTCTTCAGTGTTTACTTAGCAAGTTCTGTTGAAGCTGTGTTGTGGAGAGGGATGTAGGGTGGAAGACAAAGGGGTGGAAGAAGAAATGCTACATAACAGCTTAGGAGTGGGAAATTCAAATGGAAAGGGATGTTTCACATTTTGGAAAAAGGGAAATCCCTAGAGCACAAAACCTAACTTGTGGCCCATCCTAAGGACCATTTATGGTGGTCAGATGGCTCAAATCTAGGGGAGGCAAACCAACAAAGCTCTAAGGCAGTGTTAAGGAGTGGCCCGAACCAGGTTATTACTGGTAAACAGATAGAGTGCTCAGGAGCATGTGACAACTTAAATACACGCGTGGTTAGGACTGGGTCAAGGTACAAGGGAGTAGAAGTTGGGCCATCAAGTGGGCCTGTGAGAGACATAAGCCCAAAAGGTGTGGAGAAATCATCGACTATTATTTGCAAACCTGAGATGAAGTTTAGGACAAAAAGAAGAGAGAAGAAAGAAGAGGGAAGATAGTAGATGGGCAGAAAGTGTGTCCTCAGCCGACCCTAAAGTATAATTTATATTAAGAGTTTAATGTTACATAAAATGACTAATGTGCCCCTAATTAGTAAAGACACAATAAGACACCAAATAGAAAATTAGTTCAGGCACAACAACTTTAGGCCAATTACAGAAACATGTATGAGACATAAAGAAGAAAAAGGCCCATACATAATTATCCATTTCAACAGTCCCCCTCAAGCTGAGCATAGATGTCTATCATGCCTGTTAAGATGTGCCGAATAGGGGTAGTTTAGTCTTCTTCTGTTTATTAAGTAACTTGCTTATGTGGCAGTGTTATTAGAGTTACTCTGCC